TCTTTGCCAGAGTTAAATCTTTCAGTGTTCACCGGAATTAAATTCCTACGTTGCTATTTTGAACCTTAGTATTTAAACTCGTTTCCTCAGAAAATGGTAACGATTTTAAAAGAAATATTTCTGGGTCATAATTTATCATTTCAAACTCCAAGTTTTATATAGAGTGCGATACCAAAATCTAACTGCCCTAATGAGTGACTTCTGACGAAATGAACTTAGCAACGAATAGGCCTTGATTTCCAGTTGATTTCTATGTGGAGTGAAAGTACGGAAGTTAAATTAAATGTATCGGGAATATTTTTACAAAACAGCCAGTTTGCAGTCATCGTGATAGGACCACCAAAGTACATATCCACATAAAAATATTTTTTTTAAAAAAATGTCATATGACGGAGCATAGACATAATGAAAGATATCTTTCAGAATATAAGTGGTGCATTAAGAGATCGAAAAATGTTGTTAAAAACAAAGAAACCTGTGTTGAACTTCTATGTATGATCTAACTTCCTATATGACATTGAATGCTGAAAATCTTTCTCACATATGAAGAGAATAGAAGCAAAAGAAATATGGTTTTACCGACGAATGCCGAGAATAACATGGGCAGGACATGTAAGCAAGTAGGAAGTCATAAGGAAAACAAGAATAAGAGAAACATATTTACAGAAAGAGAGTTTAAATGCCTGAAAGCATTTGGCTAATAAAAGAAAGATAACTGGAGGTTTTTGCAGGAAAAGAATGGCGGACATGTCTTCCTTATCTCTCATATCAATTAAAATGTTTTAGCGGTGTTGGAGAAAGATTTTTTAAAAATTTGGATTTTCCTCGTTTATTCGAGGTAAACATCCACACAACTAGACATTAATTTAGAAGCCCTGGCAATTGCAGATGGGGCCCACCAGGCAACGTACAAAATGGTGAATCATCCTCATTTCGTTCGTATTCCATTAATATGAAATTCCTATTGAATAGCTTCTTCTCATAGTTTACGGCAACATCAGGTTGAAACACCGTTCCAATACGATCACCGGAGCTATGCAACGACGATCTGTGCCAGTAACTAAATGGGTGACCGATTGGGAATATCCACTGCTGTAAGTTTGGGTGTGCAGATGATGTGATAAATAACGTTTCGGAATTGTTATTCGGAGAGCCAGGTTCTAATTCCCGTTGGGTTCGTTATATTCACTTGCGAGCAAATATCTTTGGGAAAGGTTTGAATCCACGTCTTCCCCTCAACTACGGGTTAATTAATAAGACTTGTATCACTGAACGGCTATTATCTCCAAAAAATAATTCTCGCAAACTGAAATATATATTCTGGCTTTAAATAACCTGAAAAGGGTTGATAAACCATAGAAAGCTAATCAATCAACCAATTAAAGGTCTCCCAACGACTCCTGATTTGTGGAATATAATCCCGACAGGATGTTTTTTCGATTACTATTAGCTTGACTTCTTCAAGTCTAGGCTTAGCCTTTAGCTTTCCTACATAATCTCATTAACTATACATCTTCCATTTTCTTATGCCCCTACAACAACACACAATAATCCTATTCCTTGAGTGGCACTTGGGCCTAGTACTGAAAGAATATCTCTATCTATAAAAGGCAGGATGTGTGTGTGTGTGTGTGTGTGCGTGTGTGTGTGTGTAACGAATGCACGGCCGCAATTTTCGACGGATTTGCACCAATATTTACATGCACATGCTCCAAGTTAGTGGGAAGGCCAAGACCAACATTGCATTTCCCAACTCCCATCGATAGTGGAAATAATCGATTTTTTCATGCTTCTACGGCAGTTTTCATGTAGTTTGCGACCATTTTCTACTGGCCAGAGTGAGAGCCTATAGCTGGCTGCTACGAATAGACAGGGAGATTCTATTGGCCAGCGTGAGAGCCAACAGCTGACTGACACGAATGTTAACGAGCATGCTAGCAGGCAAAAAAAAAAATCGATAGCTGCATTCGTCACAAGTGGGAAAAATTTAAATCTGCATGGCACTTTACTCCAATTGGCTCATTCGCTTGCTTAAACGCAACGTTGATTCTGATTCCGCAGAACTGAGTTGGGTGTTAAAAAGTATTTGTTGTTAACATTCTTTTTTCATTCGGCTTTTCCAGTTTCGAGTCCTTTTTTTTTAAAGCTGATCGTTTTGTGTTCATTTTGTTTAGTTCTTTTTTCGTAACAAATTTAATGTTTAGTATAGAGCTTAGAAAAAATTCGCAGTGTGAGATAGGCAAGAAGTAAGGCATGTAGCAACATCAGCACGGTAAAGGGCACTCCTTTAAAGGCAAGGAAGGGCAAAAATATTTTAAATCAAGCGATAGCGATTGCTGTATGAGTCGTACGATTTTTGAATCAAGTACGGGCAACGCCGGGCCATGCTGCTAGTTAGTAATAAAAAAAGAAGTAGGGTCTATTTAACTTATATGGCTAAATTTGATATTTAGGCGATTCGCAATTTCAATTTTAATGAAACGAGCATTTTACAAAAGAAAGCTGAATCAATATTAAAAATTCTCTCTTGGTCGATCGAATTGAAACTATTCTCTAGATTTATTGATTATCGATTTGTTCTCTGGTTGATAACGAAGGGGTGAAAATAGCACCTGACGTACAAACGGTCGCCGATGTCAATATTATTTCGAACAAAGCACAAAGGAAGCTGGCATTATTATAATGAATCTATCGCTTTTCAAGTAGCAAAATAACGCGCGTACCCGAGCGTAAACAAATCTCGTGCTTTGACCGACCCTTGCGATTTGGCCACTATAACACGCACTCAGCACAAAGGGTTGTGTAAAGCTCGAATCAAATTGTTCACATAAAATCTAACAAAATTAAAGCCCTCATCCAAGAAAATCAGACCTAAACCAAGGATTTCCTGTTAGTCATTTAACGAAGTTCTACTTAACTTGTTCCTTCCGTCTTGGAGAAGAAATGATTAATGTCTAAAACAATACACTTAACAAAATAGGACTAGATATCGCCCGGTTCACACTCCTCTCCGTTCTTTTGAATAGAAGTAGAAATCTTACACTTGTTTCCTGTTTAGGTTTGTGCTTCCGGTTCCTTCTAAAGTTTAATTCAGCTCTTCTAACGTCTCCGCCTGAACTCTGAAATTTTTTTTACAAATTATTTCGTCTCCTCAAAAGGACTAGATAGGTTCACCTATAGTTCAGTTCACTAGTCTTTTTTTTTTGTTTATTGTTTTTTTTTTGTTTTTTTTTTTTTTTTATTAATATTATTATTAAGCAGGAGTAGAGTTTCATCCATTATTCACTGTTCAGAATTGAATTTCCGGCTCCTTCTAAATTATCTTCATTATCTTTTACACCCAGCATCACCTTACTTCTTAGCAGCATTATCACCTGGGGTGAATTGATTAAAACAAAAACATTCTCGAGAAAACGAGAAACGGTCCTCGCAGCGGAATTCGAACCTGCTTCCCATTATGCAGCGGAAATCACCGTCTGACCCAAAATAGAACCTTGCTTAACTATGAAACCCTCTGTAGCAGAATGGTTAAAGCACACCGGATGCGAGCATTCTTAATCTTATATTAAGTTTTCTGTTGTGCTCAGGTTGGTAGATGAAATAAGCACTATTTAAAAAAAAAAAACGGATCGTCTACTCAAATACGGGTATCCATTAAAATAAGTTTTGAATATATATATATATATATATATATATATATATATATATATATATATATATATATATTAGTTGTAGTAGTAATCTTATAAGTATAAGAAATTATACTCGTTAGGAAAACCTTCAGTGTTTTGGTTTTGCAAATAATGCGAGCATTCTTAATCTTATATTAAGTTTTCTGTTGTGCTTTGGGTATCCATTAAAATAAGTTTTGAATATATATATATATATATATATATATATATATATATATATATATATATATAAACTTTCAGTGTTCTGATTTGCAAATAATCAAACCAATACCAAAGGGAAAAAAGGTATAAAAAAGAAAGAACCAAGAACATGTACGTTAGCCGAAAATAATCGTCTAGCATGCAAGTCCAAAGCTCAAAGAAAAAAAATCCGATACGAGTAGGCAAAATAACTAAATCAAGTGCTCGATACAATGAGTAGAGCAGACCTAGTTAATAAATTACCCGCAGATAGCCGATTCGACCATCTGTATGTAGATGACTCTTTAGGTGACGTAATTATTGTTACTTACTCGGTGACGCATGATAAAAAATAAAAGTGTGAGGCGAGAACTAAGTCAGATGTTATGCTTGAAAGATTTTTTAATCTTTTCGCCATAAGGAACGCGATTAAGCTATACAAGAGGTTACGGAGAGGGATGGAAACCGAGATTTCATTTAGCAGAAAGACCAATAAACGAAGAGGTTTCAAGAAGACAGATGATGACGTTGCATTTAAATTTTCGAAGGTTGTAGTTGAGAGGAGAGCAAGGTGCCGGAAGAGCGTTTCACAGACGAGAAATACGAAAGAAGAAACGATTAGAATAGAACTTACGGTTACATCTAACAATTTTAAAAGTAAAATGATGAAAGCTAACTGGTAATCTAGTACTACGGCTAATTCAGGGTACAAAAGAGGAACGTTCATAAAATAAATGCCATGCAAATATTTACATAAAAGGCACAGGAAAGCCACAGTACAGCGGTGAGAAAATTATCTTCTGTCATCTTAATTATTGTTCTTTTATTGAACCCTCTCATTAACAGTAGTTTTTCTCATGTACTCGAACACTCAGAAACCCTTTGCGTCCTAGTGGCTTTCTTGCCTTGCTTGGGGTAAAATGATTAAGAAAAGAGAAAAAGTGATTGACGAGGAAGATTAATTTTATTACTTTGGGAAATAATGGCAGTAAGGATTTTTGAAATACGCTTAAATGCATTGTCAGAGATTCTCTCCAAGAAGATAAATTAACAGACTTTATTTTCTGGTTTCTATTCCATCGAAAAAAATAGTGGTTGCTGAAGTGTCCCCAAACCACATAAAATGACATGGATGAAAGAAGCCTGCAAATAGAAACACAAGCACAAATATCTGTTTTTCTTACTATCTTTTTTCTTTCGTTGTTTATTTATCTCTCTCCCCCTCAGTATATATATATATATATATATATATATTGTAAATTATTTTCATATCGGCTGATAAGTTTTAATAACATTATCATTAAACGAAGAAAGAAAATCCCAATATTGATACATATTTTTAATCCAATCTAAGCTTTCGGCTTACATAAGCCATTATCAAAGATGACAATTACATTAGAATATATCAAGCAATGCATATAATATTTGATGAAACATGCATCAATGAAAAAATGCTGTCACATATACACACAATATATATATATATATATATATATATATATATATATATATATATATATATATATTTTTACTACCCACTGCTAAATTCGTGAAATCGGGGTACAAAAGAGTACGTTAATAAAATAATTCCTATGAAAATATTTACATACATTCTTTTTCTCTGTTTTTACCCAAGTTTGAACACCGATCAGTAGACTTTGATATTTATGTATGCAATTATTCAAATCAATAAGCATTCTAAATGACCTTGCATCTGTGAAATTATCATCAGGTAAATTGCTAAATTCCAAGCCTTTATGATTTAAAAACGATATATTTGTCGGAAGAACTTAGGTCCCTAATAGTATCTATCGAAAATTATTCCTTTTCTTTTTTGTTTTTGCATGTGTGTATTCATGCGTTTATATTAAATATATATATATATATATATGTGTGTGTGTATTCATGCGTTTATATTAAATATATATATATATATATATATATATATATATATATATATATATATATATATATATATATATATTCCATAACCACTCCCATGACCTGCTATCGCCGGTTCCCAATCTTCATGAATTTAAGCGTTCTACTAGGCTGGGATCTCGCTCTCACCCTTTCAGTGTCGAAACTGTTAAATGTAGCCGTCTCTTCTACTCCAATAGCTTCATGTCTCGCACCTCCCGCCTGTGGAACTCCCTCCCCTCTTCCTGTTTCCCCTGAAAGCTCTAATCTCGAACTATTCAAACGTAATGTCAATCGACATCTCCAGATGCCCTGATCTATCCACTACCCTTCTCTTCATCCTTTCCTCTATCACTCCTCTTTGTTCTCGATCCAACTTTCTGTAACCCCTTGCGTGATAGTGGCTTCCCGCCTTGCTTGGGCTGAAACGCTTAAAAATTAAAAATGAGAATATTTCAAATCGTTGTTAAATCAAAAGTATTCTAATCTGAACACCCGCGAAAATCTTTAAATTTACAAATAGAAAAAATGCCGTAAGAATTTTTTTGCCGTGAACAATAAATTTAAAAAAAGTCCGGACGACATGCATTCAACGGATGTCAGTTTTCATTGAAAAATACATCCCTACTCCTTGCCAAAATGTAGCTAATAACCGATACAATGATACAGACATAAGGAAAACCCAGACAACCCTTGTCCAATTGAAGTAGATTTATCTCTAACCATGGAAACGTGATTTTAGCTGTGTCTTTAAAACCCAGTAATTTTAAAAGTTACTCCAAAATTCGCTTGAGGATGAAATGGAACTAATGTCTTTAATTTAATTGCAAAATTAAATTCGTGGCTTTTAGCTTCTATTTTTGAAACATGGTTAGAACTGTGTAGCGGAAGAAAACATATTTTAAATCAATTAATTTATAATATATATATATATATATATATATATATATATATATATATATATATATATATATATATATATATAAAAAATCAGTATATAGGACTGGGAATTCCATGCAAATGATGATAGCACCTGGCGGAAAGAGGTTCAGCATGGAAAGGTTGCTTTCGAGTCTTCTCGGATTGCAAAAGAAAAAGTGAAAAGACGTGTCCAAAAATCTCTTGATACGGCACATCTAAGCCATATAGATGACAGGCGTTACCTCACCTACGATATTTGTGGTAGGCTTTGCTTGGAGTAAAGCGGGTAAATTAAGTCATAAGCAAAGTGTACCAACCAACTTCAAAATGACATTAAGTACTGAGAATTTCTTACAGATTTGTCGTAACGTTTAAAAATCAGTGGGCTGAAAAGACATTCTGTCTGTAAATAGACCGAATGATAACAAAAATACCTCAGATTTTATCCAGTTTAAAAAGTCACGTTTGTTGAAAACGTCATAACATATCTGGTCATTGTCATACTCGACAACGTGGTGATAGCCATTATATATTTGTGTATATAGTGATTTTCAAAGCATAGCTTAGATGTGGCACAAGGCCGAAAGCAGGAGGCACATAGTGAGGATTGAACTCAGTTGTAATTGTTCTAGCGTGACAAGCTTGCTAACAATTACACCGCCTCTTGCGTTCTTGGGCACCTCCTGGTGGTGTAATGGTTAGCAAGCTTGTCACGCTAAAACAGTTACGAAGGAGTAGAGAGTTCGATCCTCAGTGGGTGCCCCACACTTTCGGTCTTGTGCCACATCTAAGCTATGCTTGGAAAATTGCTTTGGGCACCTCAGTGTGGTGTAATGGTTAAAAAGCTTGTCTTGCAAGATCAATTATGACTGAGTAATGAGTTCGATCCTCACTGGGTGCCCCGTACTTTTAGCCTTGTGCCACGTCTAAGCCGGGCATAGAAAATCACTATATATGCGTTCTATACACTAACATTTACCCAATACAAGACTTAATGAAGGGTTACTGTTAAAATAGCAATTATGAATGAGGTGTGTTGTATGAATGAAAGGGAAAGTGATAGAAAATATCGACGATGAAGCGAAGGGGGATAGATAACTTTGAATTAAAGAGATTGTAATGTTCAAGGAAGGACTCCCTCGGAATCTGTGCCACAAAATGGCAGTTATTGAGAAAAAAATAGCTATATGAGTGGAACTTCTCACTTTTAGAAGACGAAGAAATCTTATCTGAACATCTTCCATGAAAATAATGATCGTTCAGCGGCAAGCTTGCAACGTTGCATATGAACACAAGTACAGTATTTACATTAGTCGGACTATTGTCCTCATCTTTGTCGCCATATTTGTCACAACGTTTCGGCCGTTGTACGCTCCGGCCTTTTTCAGGTGGTCGGAATTTCGAACTGAACCCTTTATTTCCATTACTGGGGTAGACTGTTCTAGTCCACGTGCCATGTTTGATGGATGTCAGTTATCAGTTATCTCCTGCTAATTTTCCCTCTGAAAGTTCTCCACTGCCTTAACCGGGTATTGAACTCACATTCTTTGGGTCTGTCACTGGATCTAACCAACGCCTTTATCCACTGAGCGTACAATGGCCGAAACGTTGTGACAAATATGGCGACAAAGATGAGGACAATAGTCCGACTAATGTAAATACTGTACATAATACCTCATCTCAGAAATATAGACAGACTCTGAACACAAGTAGTTTAAGATTTGAGAATGTCTTTCCTCACAAGATCGTGTATACGTATATATTGTGTGTACTTATATATATATATATATATATATATATATATAAGTACACACAATATATATATTATATATATATATATATATATATATATATATATATATATATATATGTACGTCTCTCTGTGTGTACATGTGTGTATGTAGGGTGAGCGGTCTGGCAACGTGCTATAAAGGCTAGACTAATTTAGTCGTTTTTATGACATTTTTTTCTTCAAAGGAAATGATAATTTGGTTATCAGTCCACAAAATAGCTATAATTAACACAAAAATCAATGCGACCCTCTCGAACATTTTCCAAAATATCAGTCTGCCAAAATGTCTTCGCAAGAAACAAGATTTATTTGGCATATTATGGCTGGCTGTGAAACAATCACAGGTTGCAACCTTTCTTGTGTCGCAACGAATCTGCACTGGAGACGAATCAATAAATAATAAATCACGCGAATGACTTCCACCCTAACAACGATCTCAGAGAGAACTGCTAATAAATGCTTTGTTCACAAGTTTAAACTGACATACTACTTCTTTAAAATCAACATTAAAAAAACATTTGTTTTTTTTTGTTTTTTTAGATTTCAAAGTTTAAATCGAGATTTTTGGTTTTTCGTTTTTACTTATGCTTTTTAAGGAAGTATCTTCATAACATATTCTCTTCATTTCTCAATTTTGCTTACACTTGCTAAATTATTTAGTTACCCATATAACAGCTTCATTGAGACACTAATCCTGGCGTCAGTGTCAGACAACTGATAATCTTTCTTCTTTGGGTAAAATGCATGATTTAGGTAAAATCATTATCAATGCATATACATATTTACATTCGCGTGCATAAAACAGAATGTTTTCCCACACGCACACGGGCGTGCACATATATATATTGTCACTTAAATGCTCGGTGCTACACACATGATGCGGACTTCGATGTTTCGTAAACGTATAAAATACGTTCATTCGTAAAGGCTTCCTTTTCTGTTCCTATTAACGTTCTGTCTCTGATGTCGAGCACTAATACAATGAATACTTGCCCTTCTAACAGCAAACCAATGTAAGTCAGCAATTTACCTTCAGTCTTACAACTCATTTTTATATATATATATATATATATATATATATATATATATATATTATGAATAAAAATGACAATAGGAATATTCATAATATTGTCTTCTCTACCGATTAAATCGGAGAAATTTTATATATATATATATATATATATATATATATATATATATATCAAGGAAAACTCTGAATTCAAGCCATGTTTTTTGTAGGTCTTGCCTCTTAAAATTCTTAAATGTCCCCATGAACCACAGTTGTGGCATTGAGAGGAGTGGTGACTACTGCGTTAAGTGAATAAATAAGTGAATGAATTATATATATATATATATATATATATATATATATATATATATATATATGCTAGCAGCATCGCCCGGCCTTGCCCGTTCTTGATTCAAAAATCGTACGACTCATACAGGAATCGCTATCACTTGACTTAAAATAGTTTTGCCTTTTCTTGCCTTTAAAGGAGTGCCCTTTGCCGTGCTGATGTTGCTACATGCCTTACTTCTTGCCTATCTCACACTGCAAATTTTTTCTAAGCTCTATACTAAACATTAAATCTG